GAACCATCACATGGAAGCATTGACTTGACGTTGGTGTTGAAAACTTGGATCCTGTTCTTCATGCTGATTGCAGTGCAGTAGATTTCCACGGTGGTTTCAGACTGATAAAGGTCTGTCTTGCTTCTTTTCCAGTCTTGGCTTTGATGTCCTCATCTGTGCCGCCGCCACCGCCTGTAGTTGAAACGATGTTGCCTAGGTAGATGAAAGAGACTACTTCCTTTAGGTTTCTCCAGTTATTGATGATTGGTACTTGTTGTGGATGCTGTTGTTGGTTGAGTATCTCCATCACCTCTATCTTCTCTGTATTCACATGAAGTCCTGTCTTCGCTGCCTTGCCTCTTCTGTCAACTTGTTGGTTTTTGCCTGTAGATCTTCGAGTTTGTGCAACACTAGACATAAATCATCATTGGCGAAATGCAAATCTTCTAGGGTCGTTTCATCGGTCCAACCAGCGTATAGCCCTCTTCTCCGTCCTCATAGTTTGTTAATTGATGATCCAGTCCACTACAATCAAGAAGATGTATATTAAATTAGCTTATAGATGTATTTTTTTCTGACTACTGATTAACGCAAACGACATGTTTCTTGGTGCCCAAGTTGTATCAAGTTTTTCTTTTCAATAAATAAACTGATCAGTGGTTGCAGTCCTAAAGTACAGATTAATATGAATCATTGAGTGTAATTTCGATGAAATACAAAACTTGTTGTACAACTATTAATCCACTCAAAGATATAGCATTGGTTGTAACGACGTTAAAATTAGCTCATGAATAAGTTAGTTCTACTCTTTGTAATTAAAAGTAACCAACGAGACCAAAATCCATGAAAAGAATGGAAATAACCCTAACGGGGCTGAAATAAGAAAGTATCCAGGATTTAAGGTAAAAATTAATGAATTTACCTGCATCATATCCAGACAAACAAGGAATTTCTGTCGAATCTTATCCTTAAATCTTACTTCCTTGAACGTAGCTTGAAAGTACCATTGTCATGGATAAAATTAATAACTAATCTTTACCCCATAGTTAGTACTACAAAGCGAGGTAAACTAAAGTTGGGAGTCAACTTTTCTCTTTTATGAAATGAAGTAAACAGTTCACTGCTTTAATAAATCGATTAAAGGACTAAATCATCAATCAGAATTCAATTTCGCTCCCAAACACTCAATGGCTTTTATAAATCTTAAAGAGAGTAAGTGATCCAATCAGAACCTAAAGTACCTGTTTCAATAAAAAGTGATGAAGAAACTTGGACCTAAAACTCTTCGGTGTAGAATTAAATACTTGGATCAACTAGTTATCATTGTACTGACTTTTAAATTCGAAAATATCTCAGACAACAACCAAATCAGTCAGTGAAAAGATGTGACAGTCGAATTAGCAATCCCATTCCCTAGCGCCATACACATCTTAAACTTTCAATACTAGTAGACATTTGCTTCAAAACGATGAACAAAATCCTTGTATTAGTGGTATTGCTTGTATTATACCGTCGTTGATTGGCATATAGGGCTCCTGAGTGGACGCCTCGATATTGCCTGTGCTCTTAACTATATAATTAAAGATGGATAAAGGCTATCAGTGGAATCTAGGATGTGCATTTGAAGCGCATTGAAGTGATCGATCCCGAGCTCGAATCCCGGTGGGGACAATATTACTCACTGGCAGGCAGATGCACCCAGCTGACGAGTCCCAAGCAGGACAAAACGAACATCCTGGATTCCACCACTAGCCACTATCCATCATTACTATAAAATCCTTGTATGTCACTGTGAAAAACTTTGTCTATACCATAAACGTAAAGCTAAGTCACTGAACTATTTAGAACCTTTAAACAAATTTATATTTGCGCTCAAACACCCTATAGACATTCTTCGGCTTTGAAATGGATAATACAGTGGTTTTCCATTTATTTCCCTTCAAATTTCTCTCTTTCTCAGATAATATTCTCCACGAAATGATTATTACTCAGATGCTATATACGACGAGTTGATACGTTGCAAACCATATCAAAAAAGAGGGGTGAAATGTACGTATGTGCAAGTATGTTCATTAAGCAATGATTCACACCTACTGTAAGTACCGCGGAGTTCGAACTCGCGACCCAACGCTTAAAAATCAAATACCTAGACCAGTGGAGCACAGCTATGGATGCAAATATGTATATGCAGCTAGTAAAAAGTTAACATCAAAATGAAAATTTATTCCAGTGTTAAATCTTCACCATAGAAACAGAATTTCCAATTTTTTTTATTTCACCGATATACAAACGACACATGAAGAGAATTATTCCAGATAGTTCAAGGGTTATGAAGCCGTAAAAATTATTGAAAACACATGGAAACCCAAAAAGGTATTGTTGTTTATAAAACAACGAACTAATCACTGAGCAACAACAATTGTGAAAGGTTCAAATTGGCGGTCCGCTTAAATTTTGCCTTACTAAAAATATTTTATCAAATATATTTAGTCGAATTTTTCCTCCTTTTACTTGTTTTAACTATTCAAATGTCAACAAATTACAAAACACACTTGCGCACTCTTAAAATGTCTTCAACTTATCGTTAGAGGGGTTAACAACAAAACTACGGAAAAATATCACAGTGGACGGCAGTTGGCCCCCGGAACGCACAACAGAGTATCATATAGCTATTACAGGAATACATAATTGGAACTGAAAAGTTTTCATACAGGTTAAATGAACCTACGTCGCCAAACTTACGTGTGCTTTTCTACCCAACCTACGTGTAACAACATAAAAACTGGATGACCTAAGAAAACCGCTGGTTGTTGTGGATTACTGCCTATCATACTGCTATTCATAACAATACTTAACTGCTGTAGGTATTTCAATTCGAAAATGTTGTACAAGAAGTAAATCTGTTGAAGTACAGCATTAAGAGGTCCAAATTGTACTAAAAGTTATTGTCTGAAATAAATTGATCGCTATTATTATCACCATTATTATTATTATTATTATTATTATTATTATTATTATTATTATGAAAACCATTATTAAGCTATGTCTTTAACATGTTTTGAAATTTCCGTAGAAATAGAATGAATTTCGCGCATTTCTACAAAATTTCTAATCAAATCGACAATATATACTCTTTTTTGATATATAGTTCACACTTTTGGCCCTAAAACCCGGTGACTCAGTGGTAACGTGCTGGTAACGGAATCTGAAGGTCGCGGGTTCGATCCCTGGCGGGGTCATGGGTACGCACTGCTGAAGAGTCCCATACTAGGATGAAGCAGCTTTCCAATGTTCCTCCAACTGACGTCAGTCCATGATGAATACCAACTTGAAAGATCTCTAAATCTCCACAAACCCCTAAATACTTCGAGACTGCTTAGTATCTATATCTGATTTAGGTAAAAAAGGAACTATCTGGGTAGATGCCTTATTCCTTGTGGATTGACCACCGATAAAAGAATAGATACTAGATTGTTAAGTGTACCTGTTATGTGTAAGCTAATCATACTACCTGGTTACTCAAATGTCTCTGCACTGAGTATGGTTCAAATGTGTAGTTCACCAATTGAAAAGCAAAGACCAATGAGCTACACCTTTGCAAATGTATTGATCAAATTGTGGCACTGTGCTAACTTCTGAAACAGGATAATATGTGCCAGTGAATGACTATCGTCTGACGGTGATACTTGGCTCTGTCAATTGCGACGTTTTGGATCATACGACAATTATATTAAATATGGTCATCAGATATAAAAGTATAAATGCATTTAACTACGGATGACTTAACAGTATACACAGACTACAGTAGAATTACCCCGTGAAGACTTCACAGACTACGCACAGAATACTCAGCTAAAAAGATGTGTCAGTTGACGTTGTGAACTTTTATCAACATAAGTGACTGACAGATATACAAAATATACATATTCGCTGGTACTGTAGTGCGCACTGCTAATCAGAATGGATATAAGTAGTGTATGTTGAGAGAACGGCAGAAATCATAGGGAATTACCAGCAATAGGTAAAGATTCTGTCCAGAGAAAAGCAAGATAGAAACAGAAGAGGAAATGAAGCACATTATGCAACTGACTGTCTTAGTGAAAGGGGTACAATAATTGATGAATAGTGTACAAGATGTCAATAATAAACATTCTTTCCTTCGTCTCTATCCTGTTGTTTTCTACAGTATGACTTCAAATTGGTACGATTTACGTAGATGCATCCAATCTCGGACATCTTATTAGTATATATGTCGTAACATCTTTACTGAGTGAGCCGAAGAAAAGTTATTGTCTAATGCAATAATAGTTAGTACCTTAAATTAGCTTTTTCATCTCTAGGTCAACATGCAAATTATTCTTATTTCGAATTAAGGGCTTAAAAGAACTTCATATACAGATTATCTTCTTACTAAATAAGAGCGCGCCAACTACATAATAGCTACATTCACTTTAAACCATGTAAGTGAGTAGGTAATAGTGACAAGTTCACTAGTTTTTAAAATTGCCTGAAATGAGTTATATGAGGTCAATCAACTCCTACTTTGAGACAGGACGCTGCTTCAATGAAAATTACTGTTGAAGCAGTCTTGAACGTAGTTGGAGAAAGAATAGCATTGATATGTGAATTTAATGTTAGTTTCTGCTTTCCAAAAGGATATCAACCCTCTAATCAAGGTAATCAAGACAGCAATCCCCTTATTACGTAACCGCGTAAAGACTTCGAAAAACCTGATGTATAGATCCTATCCAATCCCACTTATTCACACTCACGATACCTTCTACGTTTTCACCTTTCGTCCTCTGGAAGATTTATTGAATTATGATGGTATAACACAAGATACTGCTGTGCCAAATTCTAGACTATCACAGATGGACGCAAATTAATCACTTTTAAAAGCTAAAATAAACACTGAAATTGAGTAGATGATTAAAAAAAATCCTGAGTAAGGCATATTACAAACATAAAAAGCATGAAGAAAAACTAACTGATAATAATGATACAAATAACAGCAAACTAACCTAGGCATCTGAGGACCAAAAAGTACATAGATGAAATTGTAAAACATATTTTTATATGAATAAGGATTTCTGTGACCAGCTTGTTTTAATATCCTTGGGAAATGTCGTATCTGTTAGGCAAATAGAACAACGAAAAATGATAGATAAGTGAAAGTGGGAAATTAACTGAAAAAACACTTTAAAATTATCACAGGCTAAGAAAAATCACTGACATTTGTTGTTCTGATTTCATCAGAGTTTAGTACTCCTTACTTGACTCATACTAGTTCCAGTTATAAACCATATTAGGATTTAATCTACTGCCTATTAGTGACTAGCTTCGAGAGATGATTCCTAAAGTCCCAATGACAAGCCGTGATCGCTGGGGCAAACTGAGTGGGTATGAAGACAAATACTCAAAGAAGACATTAGGTGATGGTCGCTCTATGTCGTGAACTGACAGAAGTTAAAAATATGGACCATTGGATTCCAGTCCAATGGGTTAATAGTGACGTGCTGGCCACGAAATCTCAAAGTTCTTGGCTAGATCCCAGGCGGGATTATGGGTGCATACTCCTGAGTCTTATTCTAGGACGAAATAGCTTTCCAGCGTCCCCAAGGTTCCAATGTTTGTCCGAATGATGTTATTCCATGATGAATACCAACTTGAAAACATATTAGGATTTGCAAACAGTCTTCAGTACATTATTTTTACGATAATGCTAGGCAAAGACAGATTATTCAATAACTTTGTGAACCTTCAACTATTGAGGTAGCTTGAACGTGTGTTTCGCGTGCTGAGCCACCACTTGCCTCAATGTACAATGTTAACCGAAGCAGGATAGAGCTGGAAGAAGGCTAGGTGTGGCCAGACCATGATGTGACAACAGTTCATTAAGTCTTTGACTGTTGTTATGATCTGTATAGAGGGATCGATTTACCTGGATGGGGTCCACGAAATAATAAGAGTCAATGGTAGGAAGCTGTTGATGATATGGCTGAAAATCGGTTACAATGGTGCAGATGTATTTACTTTTCGACGTCTTCGAAAGGCGGAACATTTTTAATAAACTTCATTTGTTCAAATTCTCTCTTAATATCACTATTTTTCGATCCACTTGTTTTTTCAATGGTGCTGTGAAGTGTAATAATTTGAACTGAATTACTTTTGTGTAACATTCTACGCTGATATGTATATCTGCCGTTATAATGTGAAATAAACTAGTCAGTTTAAGCATCTCTATAACCAGTTAGCTTGCTACATAGAGCTAGGCAGTTAAAGATAGTGTAAAAGTCTTTTCTTGCAAAGAAAGTTGACAATACATGTCAGTTTTTAATTCCTTTAAGATACAAACTTCTTACAACCAGAAAAAGGGAGACACGGACCTAAATAGTTTCTGGTAAATTGTAACAACGGATACTTTTTAGTTTCTATGAGTACATAAAAGTGTGTAAGGTGAGCAAAAAATGAACGGCATATTATATAGCGATTATAGTTTTAGACTAAGTTACAACTACATCGATAAAACCAGTCACTGCGATGTTAACGGCACGATATTAAAGGGGGCTGCAAATAATAAGTGTTAGGGCACTGCACACTGGTAAAGGCAATTATGTGATAAATTTTATTCAGTAACAGCGTGTACTTTCGTACGTCGGCAATGAGTCACAACTATTGTTTCAGATGACACTACCTGACAGCCAAAACCTGAATACCTAGTCGGGACTTATTCTGAGCCCTAGATAACTAACTGGCTGCATTATCTCTCTGAAATGAGGTCAGGAAGCACAAAATCTAGGTCCAGGCCTTTCTGCTGATTGCCTCTACTATCCAACTAAAAAATCTTCTGTTCACAGAGAGAAGCGCTCTACTTCATTACTTACTGAGGCTGGCTTTCTCCAGGGTGCTGCTCACTTCCCCATAGTCTTTTTTCTTTCTGTATGACTTGCCACCTTCAGCTAGTATCAATTTTGTCAAATATGCTGATGACCTAACTGTTTCCATACCTAGCACCTCTTCATCAGATCATTCTCAACTAAACTATTGGATGACGGTCCTCAGTGAATTCTTCAAAATTTCAGACTATAAACTGGTTGAGGATTGGAAAGTGTTATAGGCGTGATTTATCTAGACGTGGTTTTCTTTGAACCTTTTTTGGTCCTCCTATACTATACTAATTTCTAAAAGAATCTTCCGCCTAACTTACTATGTTAGGTGGCTATGAGTATCTGGCATAAATCAGCCTTTTCTTTTGTGTTTCATTAACTCCTGCATCTTACTTATTCTCCTCTGTTGTTCACCTTTATTCTTTCCTAAGTTTCCGAAAAAAGACTATGCTGTATTGCGTAAAACTCGGAAGATTGTCAGCAGAAATAATGATGTACTTCTAAACGTTTTGATTGAAACTGTTGTGAACAAACATCTTAAATCAGATAACTAGCATCCTCTCCATCCAAAGCTCTCAACAAGTCGGTTCTCAGATAAGACCAGGAGTAAGTATGTAAGACTTTATGCATGTACTAATAGATATAAAAACTCTACCATACATTATTTAGCTCATATCCTGAACAAGAAAAGAAATGAAATAACTAACTAACTAACTAACTAACCAATTTTTGTTTTTTAAAGCAAATTATTAAAATATTACACAGCTTGTTATTATTTGTGTATTATGAATCTAATTGCTAGTGTGACTGTTTACTTAAGTTAACTTTGTCTCTTCAAAAAAGGTGTGGATAGAGTAAATGTTGTTACTTTTGATATATAGGTAGGTTTTTAATTCATTTTATGTATATGAATTGTTCTTTTTTTACACACCGTATTGACACATATTTTTGCTAGTAAAGTAAAGTTTACACGTAACAACTAGTTCTCTACAAGAACTAGTTATCAATAAGTCATCCAAGTAACAGTCTGATTCACCTAAGACTAAAATATAATCCACTGCAGTACTGCGTCACACTTGGCTTTGTGACCATATTGCGAACTGACCTTAACAGCCTTTTGATACAGCCTATGACTTCAACACTCAATGACGGAAGGCCAAACAGACAAAGGAACCCTAGCCTCCTCATAGTTGCAAATATTTCCTACTGATGAGTGTTAAGAAGCTCAAACCCTAGGTCTAAGGCATCCTGACGACTGACTCTCAATATCCAACACACACATATACCCTTATAAACGCATGAGCGTCTTGCATCCTAGTTTAGCGTATGAAAGGGATTATGAAGCAGGGAGTATAATGTCAATAAAAAGAAAATGTTATTTCAAGTTTTCCAGAGACATGAATAAACCTGTTGAGTAACAGATAATGAAACGTATAAGGGGAGTAGACTTCAATTCATGCATGATATTAAGTGCAAAGTCCGATATTTTCGAGGATTGTACCATGATACAAGACAACTAATCTTAACAGCTGCAGAGTCTATGGGGATAGCAGTACGTACACGCTCTATTGTACTTTAAATTGAAATGTCAAGTATTTCTGTTTCTCTTCGTGACAGATCCCAGTCGATGTAGACATCTTATAACGTAGTTCACTAATTTGCAGCGAACAAATTTTATTAGAACTTTGGTGAACGGAACGAGAAGATACTCAAAGACCAAAAATTCAAAAATCTATTTCGAGGAGAAGAATAACCTGAGAAGAATGAGTCGATCAATTATCTACACCTATGGGGAAAAGAAGGTCTCGCTGAACCTTCATCTTAAGATTGGTAATTTTGCTGAAACTTCTCAGTATGGACTTTCAACTACTAGAAAAGACTCTTTTAATAGCCAATCTGGGTATTTTCAAGTAGATGCATCTTGCCATCACAGTTATAAGGTACGATTAATCATCTGCCCTAATCAATGTGCGATCCAAGTGCCCTGGTACAGTTGAGTCAGCTTGTCCTCTAAAAAGTACTGTTATACAGCCATATGTTAAATAGTCACCGTCAGTTTTATTAACTGGCTTGAGGTGGTGGTATGTTCGAAAAAGATGGAGAAAGCGAATATCTGGTGTCTGTTCCAAGATCAGTGGATAGGGAGAATTCAACTGCGTAGGCTGAAAAGCTCTGAGTGCAAGCCAGTGGGACAGATAGAGTAACGAATCTACAACAAACAAACAGTATACGAACATACTTTTGTTACTGCCAACTACGGAAAAGCAGCACTTAAGCTTTTCTGTTCTTAATTTCTCCCTTAACCTTTTTTGTCATTTCATCCAATTGATGTGTGATGTATCTCGGAGAAAAGTATAAAAGATTCCAATAAAATGCTTGGAATAACTTCTTCATCTTTCAGGTTAAAGTGTTCAATGTGAACATATTCGCCAACCACGTAGCAGTGGGATTCATTCTTGCTGTTGTCGGTATCACACTAATTTATAAGGCAAAAGTTCTGCTAGTCAACCTGACGCCCTTTAACAGTTGTCTGTATGTTATTAGGCTAAAAGTTTCGGTTAGAATAAGAAGTAAGTAGAGGGACAAATGATATCGTTTTATTACCTTTGCTTCCGACAAACTGTAGCCTGAATGCACTTAAGCATCGATTGAGTAAACTCAATAAAATGCACTCGACAGATATTGTGGTGTTATTTGAAGGTTTGTATTCACAGGCTAGGTGTCTAGACTCAAAGGAGAGTCAATTAAGTAAACAATGGGAGCAAGTCTGAAGAATGTAGGCTAATGAGAATCGTCTTTCAAAGCTTTCAAGCTGGTACCAGCTTAAGGCACGGTTAACACCATTTCACTACATAGTATCCTCCTCCACTTCGATCCTACACATAGAAGGAACACATTCCCCCTAGCTAGTGATGGAGTGAATGCACGAAAGATTGCCTTTCCTTTTAGAGTACATTTATGAATTATGACTATAAGCTAATGTGTACTAAATTCATCTTATGTCTTGAAAGTCGTCCAATCGTCGTCCTAGACAAGGAGATTTAAGAAAATTGGTTGCTTACAGTATTGCAAGTGAATACTAAACCAAGTTTAACCTACGGTTAGCCATCGAACCACTAGAAAGTATCGAACAGCACTGTTTTCATTAACAATACACTATCAAAGTGGTGAATATAATTATTTGCGCATTAGAAAGGCATTTAGCTAATATCGACTGAGTTAATTGAAACTCTTCGATGGTTTC